AAATGCCACATGTACGTTAATATGAAAATACGAATGTGCCTAATACTCTATATGTAGAAGCAACAGAACCTTATTTATCCACAGACCACTTATGCTACTTTTTCTCTACTCTCCGAGGCAGGTTATGAACAGGAAGTCAGGGAAAGCTCTCTGAATAGCTAAACTAGACGTCATAAAGCCTATTGACTGAATCTAGACTGAATCCTTCAATAATGGTAACTAATTTTGTTAGCATTCACTAAGAACTAGGCACCAACTGACCCACTTCTCATGGAAAACTGTCGTGGACTCTGATATGATGACCAGATCCTACTTCAGGGATGAAGAACTTACTCCCTTGATCTTGCAAGTGCTCCAGGCAGAATGAACAAAACAGGAATGGAAGTCTGACAACTACGGGATTAAATAAACCACATCCATCCAGATTGGTGGGGGGCAGAGATGTGGAATGGGCTGGCCCCACGATCATGTGTGGTAGGTAAAAAGTTGGGGGGTTATCTCAAGACTGAGGAGTCAGTCCCAGCCCCACACTAGACCCCAGTGCCATGAAGATAAGTCCCTACAACTTCTGGCTACAAAAACCAACAGGGATTGAGTCAGTGGAACTTGTGGAGTCCCAAGCAGTTCCCCTTAAAGAATTCACACACAGATTCACTCAGACTTAGTCCCTCTGAGCGCCAGCACCAGGACAGCAGCTTGGAAAGCACCAGTGGCACACAGGGGAAGAACTGAAGTGTCTGCATCACAGTGGGAGCTGGGGGACAGTTTTCTCCCAGACAGAAAGGCAGTCAGAAGCCACTGTCCCTTTTCTGAGCCCTCTCTACACACAGCCACAGAGCCGACAGGTGGGTACCTTATCGGAAACTACATCAAACTGGTTGACATGGTTTGCCCCACCCTGGAGATCCCCTGATACTCCATCCCACCCAATTTATGGGCCCACCCAAACTGTTAACCATACTTTTCCATATGAATGGCTAATCTTGGCTCATGCTTCACAACTTCCTAAATCCTATCAAACAAGCAAGAGATGGCCTCAGTGAGTCCCCAGCCCCCATACCTCTTCCTAAGTGACCCCAGGCTTGGCAACAGCAGCAACCAGCCTAAATTCACAGCTTAGCTTTGCCCGGGAACCTCCAAGCTAGCACAGGCAGCAGCCACCTCAGATTGCTTTACAGCTCCTGGAAGGTGGCCCCGGGAAGAACACAGGTTCTGTGCCACTTAGAAAATCCCAGAGCCGGCAAACCAAGGGGACAGCTGCAAAACACAACGGAGCACCACCACCCTACTGCTGCACAGCTGATCCTCTATGGAGAGGGGACACTGGTGGTCTGTGGTCACAGGCAGTCCTTGCAGCTGATTGGCCTAGGTAAACCCCTCCCATTGACCTGCCAACAGTAATCAAGGCTCAACTATAAGAGAAAGGCGTACTCAGCTCCCATGGAAGGCACATCTCAAGTACTCATCTTGGAAGATGGGGAAAGCTGTTCACTGAATCCTACAGGACACCTGCTAAAACAAGCCACACTACCAAGACAAGGAGTCATAGCAGTTCCACCTAATACATGGAAACAAATACAGGGAGGCTGCCAAAATGAGGTGATAAAGAAACATGGCTCAAATGGAAGAACAGATCAAAACTCCAAAAAAGAACTAAACAAAATGGAGATAAGCAATTTATCAGATGCATAGTTCAAACTACTGGCTATCAGGATGCTCAAGGAACTTAATGAGGACCCCAACAGCATAAAAAAGATCCAATCAGAAACAAAGGATACACTAAGTGAAATAAAGAACACTTTCAGGTAATCAACAGTACAGTGGATGAGGACAAGAATCAAATCAATGGTTTGGAACATAAGGAAGCAAAAAACAACCATGCAGAACAACAAGAGGGAAAAAAAATCCAAAAAACATGAGGATAGTGTAAGTAGCCTCTGAGACAACTTCAAGCATTCCAACATTCACATCATAGGGGTGCCAGAAGAAGAGGAGAAAGAACAAGGACTTAAAAATATATCTAAAAAAAATAGTGAAAGAAAACTTCCCTAATCTGGTGAAGGAAATAGTGATGCAAGTCCAGGAAACACAGACAGTCCTAAACAAGATGGGTGCAAACCGACCCATGCCAAGACACATCATAATTAAAATACCAAAACTTAAAGATAAAGAGAGACTCTTAAAAGCAGCAAGAGAAAATCAGATAGTTACCTACAGGGGAGTTCCCCTTAGACTGTCAACTGATTTCGTAAAAGAAACTTTGCAGGCTAGAAGGGATTGGCTAGAAATATTAAAGTCATGAAAAGCCGGGATCTATAGCCAAGATTGCTCTACCCAGCGAACATATCATTTAGAATCAAAGCAGACACACAACTTTTCTCCTCCTCTCTCCTTCCCTTCCCCTCTAAAGATAAATAAATAAATTTAAAAAAAAAAAGGCAGATAAAGAACTTCCCAGACAAGGAAGAACTAAAGGAGTTCATCATGACCAAACCATTATTACATAAAATGTTAAAGAGACTTATGTAAGAAAAAGAAAATGAAAATATGGACAACAAAATGGCAAAAAATACAAATCTACCAACAACTGAATCTAAAAAACAAACTAAGCAAACAAGGAGTACAGAGACAGAGTCATGAATACAGAGAGTGTTTTTTTTTTTTTTTTATGGATGCCTGATGGGAGAGGGATATGGGGAAATGGGTAAGGAGGTGAGGGGAATAAGAAGTACCAAAAGGTAGTTACAGAATAGTCATGGGGCTGTCAAGTACAGTATAGGAAATGGAGTAGCCAAAGAACTTACACACATGACCCATGGATATGAACAAGGGTGTGAGGATTGCCTGAGGGAATGGGGGTGCTGGGTGGAGGGAGGCAATGAGGAAAAAACTGGGACAACTGTAATAGCATAATCAATAAAATATAATTAAAAGATAAAAAATACTTGCCCAAAGCCACCTAGCCAATGCCCAGAGTGACTGGGACCAGGACACAGGCATTCTGACACCAGAGCTCAAACTCTCAATCACTCGGCTCTGCTACTGCTCAGTCAAGTTTGCATTTTTATGTCCGATAAAATAAACTGAGTTACCTGGCTCTTGTCCTCACAGTAGACTGCAAAACGCAAATTAGAAGGAGAAAAAGATTTGTTATCAGAGACAATCAGCAAACAGACGCGACTCTAAATCTTTCAAACGAACTAGTTACTGAGTGATGGATGGCTGAGAGGCCACAGAGGGAACAGGGAGGCAGCCCACAGACCAGCAACCTTCAAAAGCTAGCTTTCCTGGGCAGGAGGGATAAGGGAAGAAAGTGATGCTATCAGAGCAAGAAACGAAGGACAAGAGACAAGAGTGGAACAACAGCACAGGCTGCTATGGAGAAAGGAGAAGGCAAGTGGGAGCAAAAGCTATGGAAGAAACAAACAGCTCCTCCTAAAGATACCAAAACAAGCAGGGAGAGGCAAGGAGAAATGGCCTTGGGTCTCCCCTGGGTCACCAAAGGGCAAGGAAGCCTGGGAAATACAGTTCCCTATAACACAGATCTAAGAACAAGTCTGTGAATGAGTAACACAAAGATACGACTGCTCGACTAACAATACGGAAACATTTCAAAAATTAAAAAAAAAAAAGATTAAAAAGGCAGATTTGTCAAAACTTAGTTTAATGTCAAGTAGTCCTACATCTCTGTTGTAGACCGCTCTGCCTGGTTCTAGGAATTGTATCTCTACCCCTTGTGGCTAAGGGTGAGGGACGACCTTTGGAATGTAAGCCACAGGAGACAAAGCTTGTCTCTGGTAGCAAACGCTGCCTCAGTTCCTCTCCCTGCCCCCAGAGCTTGGTCGGAAGTCAATGACGGGTAAGACCCCTCACAGTGGGGGGCAACCTAAGCCAGACTCAATCACTTGGGAGGCCTTCATGGAAGGACTCGGGGGGCTGCAACGAAGAGCAATGGACCCTAGCCCCGGGGCTTTGACAGAGCCCAAGTCCCCATGTTCTCGGGAGAAGCACTTCCTGGCTCTAATCCCCTTAAACCTGAATACCTGTTGGGGAGAGGTGCAGCTCCTTACCTTGCTAGAGCGTGTCCTGGGGAAAAATCTGGCATCACAAAGACTTCCTGATAAGCCTGTGAAATCTGCTCTGCTAAGAGTGCTTTCATTCATATATTAAGGGTTCGAGCAGGAAACCCTAACGCTCTGTTCCTGACAGACTCTGACTCATAGTAAGCCCTCAGATTTCTTTGAAATGTTATCTACTGTTTGACCCTTGCCACCTTGTATCCCCGTGTATTAGAACCCAATAAAAGTCCTGGAGAAGGGGGCTCGAGGCCTTTTTATCCTCGGAGAAACTGGCCACTGCTGGCCTTTGTCTCCCCTAAAAAACTGACCACCAGCCCAGGGCCTTTTCCCAGCAGGGAAAATGGCCACCCCTCGTCCCCAAGCAGATCACATCAATGTCTCGGTCATATTTACGCGAGGAAAGCCTCTCCCACCATTTTCCAGCAGTCCCTAAGCAAACAATGGCAACAATAACCATGCCTTTCACTTATACGGTTCTTCACAAGGCATAATGCTGTATTACTGCTCAGTTCAATAACTGATATCTACAAGGACGAGGCTAAGGAGTTTCAATTATTCTCTGTTTAGATAATCAGGGAGATATATGTTCTAGAACTATTCCCATCATAAAAGTAGTGAGTTTATTTGATAGAGTGTAGTAGAACTTTATCCTCAAAATTTCACTCATGTAGAATAAAATGTTCCCCACCCATGTCATCTAAACAAGGTGTTAATGCAGCTGTGATTTTGGAAGGCCAGGTCTGGCCATCACAGTTTTACCGGCTCTTTGACAAAGCAAGAGCCAGAACACAAATTCTTGCCCTGTTCTCAGAAGCCCTTTGCTAACTTGCCAGATGTGGCAGAAATTCTTGGAGGTAGGTAGGGAGGGAGGGGACAGATGAGAGAAAAACTCAAAAATGTGTTACCAGGAATCTCCAGTCAGTGCTGGCTTCTGCAGCACACATACTAACACGGGAAAGACACCAAGATTAGCCCGGCCCCTGTGCAGGGATGACGTGCAAATTCGAGATGCCTTCCATTATTTTACTTTCCTTTTCTAATGACCACAGGTACATAACGAAGGCTCTGATGAGCGAATGACTCAGCTTACCCACCTGAGGGCACTGCCTGCTTCAACCCCATCCCCAAGTCTTCCTCACAAAAAAGGGGGAAAAGGGCTGTCCAGTCAGCATATTCAGCAACCACTCAATGTTTTGCCCTTCCAAAGACATCTAACATCCCTTTTAAAGTTATTAACATGATAGTCATACCAGAAGGAATGTAATTTGTTCACAAAGATTGTGAATATATGTCAGGCTTTTCTGTGCCCCCACCTCAACAAAGCTTTTTTAAAGTAATTAAAATCCAAATGGCTTGAGTTCAAGGATTAGTTTTGCTTCTTGCTAGGTGCATTTGGACTGGCCAATTAACCTCTCTGGGCCTCTATTTACTTATTTCCAACATGATGCTACTAGAACTAGCTGATGTCCACCATCCTTTCAGGCCTGAAATAATTCTATAAAAAGAGAAGAAAAGTCCTGTGTGGAACCAGATGAACTTTCTGTCACTCAACATCCCCAGACATCTATTTGAGAGACTGCTCATCAGAATTAAATGTACAGTCTGTGGCCACAGTACAAAGAAAAGTTTGACTTCATTCTTACTGAGTTGATTGCAATCTCACCCAGCAATTTTCAAATTGGGTTCTAAGGTAGTCTGACAGAGACCTATTCTTCTCCTTCCTTGGGTCTGCACCTTCTGCCACGCAATCTTATAATGCCCTCTGATTCTGGGACTGGCCATGCGACTTCCTTTGGCCAATGACATATCAGCAAACACAACACAAGCGCACACTTTTAAAGTGCTTGTACCATTGGGTTTACCCTCCTTCTTTCTCCTTTGTCATGGCCAGCAGAAATGCTAACCTAGCACACTTGAGAATAAGAAACATATATAGCAGAGACCACCCACAGTCTTCCTGGCTAAAGCCAACGACCGGCTGAGCCCCCACGCATGTGAGTGAACCCCACTAAGATCAGAGGAGCTATCTTCCCAACTCACAGCTCTGACCACAGACCCCTCAGTGAGATCAACTGAAATCAGCCAAACCCAGACCAAGATCAGCTGAACCCCCCCAAACTTGTAAGTTAAATACATTTTTAAAATTGTAGTCACTGAGGTTTTGTGGATGCTCGTTACGCATTATTGTGACAATAGATAAGTGGTGCACATTCCTTGGAACCTAACCCTGAGCCAGACTAGAATGACTTTCCAGAACAAAAAATCCCTTAGTGATGAAACAAGTTTGCAACACGCTGCATGTCTTACATTTATCTTACAGGTTCACAACACGTTTTCTTGCTTTTTAAGGCTCTAAGAAGTCCCACAATAAAGAAACCTATTTAACGTCGTCTAACTCATGTTTTCCCCGACTTCTTTTACCAAAGACCCCCAAGTATGATTCACACCAATCAAACTCCCCTCCAGCCTTAGATCCCAAGTGTGGGTGAAGCCTCTATCCAATCCTCTCACTAGTTAGCAAGGCCATATATCTCATGGTATCTTCCAAGATAGTTCATGGGCCCTTCAAAAATTAACAAAACAAAAACCTTAAAAGTATTCTGAAATCACAAAAGCTTGTACTGTTTAGAACCAAGGTCTAACTAGAAATGAAAGGAAATGTCCCACAAGTATCTGAAAGCTATACATAGCCTTAGTCTAATTTCATCTTTCTCGGCTCTTAAAACTTTAACAAAACCTAACACTGACTTTGCCGCTGCCTCCTTAACACTCTTCAGAGGCTCCCACAATGCCATCTTCTTGCGATGGTTCACGAGCCTTTGGTGATCAGGGCCCTGAACGCTGATTTGTTTCCTCTCCTACCACTTTTTTTTTATACCCATCACAGGTATAATGCTACCCATGCTGAAGTACAGCCAGTTCCATCAAATGGGCCATGAGCCAATGCTCTAAACTCTCCAGTGTTTGGTCCTCTCTCATGTGAACTTGAATTATGTAGCTTTGAAAAAATAATATAATATAAAAGCATTAGTATGATTTCACATTAAATTGAATCAACATTAAAATTCTAAAACTATGCCTTGGCTGGTATACCTCAATGGATTGAGCACAGGCCTGAGAACCAAAGGGTCACTGGTTTGATTCCTAGTCAGGGCACATGCCTGGGTTGAGGGCCAGGTCCTCAATAGGGGGCATGCGAAAAGCAACCACGCATTGATGTTCCTCTCCCTCTCTTTCTCCATCTCTTACCCTCTCTCTAAAAATAAATAAATAAAATCTTTAAAAAAATTTTTTTACAAAAATTATAGTTTCGCAGCTGTGTAGAGGGAACTCTACACTCTCTTTAAAAATTGGCCACAGGGTGGCGCCATATTAGTGGCTAACGAGAAATACCCACCTTATTCTGTCAGAATGATTCTTGAATTAGGGGAATTCTGAATTTGTGAAGACTTCAGAAACAACCCTCACATATGTATGTGTCCAGCCTGTTCTCTAGACTTTAATTTTATTGAACCACGTGGAGTTCACTCTGCTAGAAACTCCGACTCATTCCCACACGGGAGCCCAAACACACAGAATCCTTCCAGCTAACTCCATCTGTCATGCGCGAGTTGACACAGCACTTCATCCTGGAGACTTTCCCTGAAATCCCCCCAACCAGGCTGCAAGATCCTCCTGTGAGAGAAGTGACCTATTTTAACATTTTTCCACTGTAAAATGCCTATTATTTGGTCTCCTTTATGGGCAAGCCTATTCCATCCCAGATCCAGAGCCCAATATAACACCTGGTTCATAGCAGATGGTCAATGAATATCAGATGGGTTTGTGGGTGGGAAGTGGGTGGATGGATAGATGGGGAAATGGCCAAGCAGGACGGGCCACTGAATACAACATGACTGATTTTCACACTATATTCTCTCCTTATCCTCTCTCCACCCAACCCTTAGAAAAGATCGTTAAAAACATTAGACAACAGTAGAAGAAAAAACATAAGGAAAAAAAAAGCCTTGATAATCCTATCAGCTGGATAAAAGTGATCATTATCAGTTTGGAATTAACATAGACCCACATTTTTTGAAGTGAAGGCACATGTCAAAAATACAAAAGACAATGAGGGAAAAAAAAGTAGGACACAGTACTGTCTTTCTTCTGCTAATCATGGAAAGTCACAAAAATGTAGGAAAGTTTTTTTCTTCAGAGGTCCATGGGGTCAGATTTCCTACCTCCCATCACAAAATTCACTGGAAAAAAAAAATTTTTTCTCATTTGCTTTCACCCTGGACACCAAGTTCACTAACCTGGTGACCTTGTGAGCTATCTTCTTTAATGCAGATAGAATAAGTACAAACCTAGATAAGAAACTTTAAAACCCAAAAGTCCTTGCCTCTGATATTTTTTCTCACATGCCTTCTGACCACAGATCAAACACCCAGCATACCTCTGGCACTTTCAGGCAAAGCTAGGAAAGTCTGTGTGCTGTCGATGCAAACACCCTGCCAGCTGACCCAGGCCGCAGCCTCAGGGAACGTCACATGGATGACTTTTTGGCTCTGCGTGTATTTAGCCTTGCTCTCTAGACTTTAATTTTTCTCTGAACTTTCTTTTGATCCCTTAGACACTATATTTGTCAAAAAGAGCTGTATAGTATTTTCACAAGCTAGAAAAATCTGGAACAATTTTTATGGATGGTTTTAACCCTGAAGTTAGAAAAAGGCATAATCTGCTGTTTTTTTTCTAGCTGCCATACCTCCCTTCTTTCTGAACTCCCTAAAAAAGCCCCACCTAAAGCTATAAACAAGAACCTGGCCACTGGGCTGTGTCATCCACAAACCACATCAATGGTGGCAGCAGAGAACACTGCAGTTGGTTCTCCCAAGTCTCAACCCGAAAGAGGTGGTATCAGCCCAGATTCTTGGAGCAGCTCTGTCCTTCGGATGCCTGTCAGACTTTCAAGGATTCATTTCTGCCTCCTACAGCCTGTTTTTCTGCATGCATTCTTACAAGACAACTGCATCCCCTGCGAAGAGGCAAGTGACACCAAATAAAACAAAAAGCAAACTTCAGGGGGATTTCTCAAGTAAATGCTCCCAAATAAAGAGTAATTTCTTCACTTTGTTCTCCCCTTTCTCTCACCAAGGTCCCTAAGAAGCGAAATTCCTCAAGCTCACTTACTTATAAAAAGCACCCACCAGGTAAGCACATCAAGATCCCTTTTTCAGAAGTGAGCCCGGGCAGCTATTTCCCAAGGCCGTCACCACCAGGACTCCCACAGGGCGTAACTGAACCCACCCCGTGTTTCTTGGCAGTGCTATTCCGTAATTGGTCATGAACGGTTACAGTCAGCCCCCAGCAATTTCTACACCCTGTATAGCATAATCTCCTAAAACATCAGCTGAGAGTTCAGGGGCTAAATTTTTAAATAGCACTCAATTAACAATCGTAGTAATAATGAAAGAACTGCCAAGCCGCTATGTGAATTCTGAAATGCAAAGTGAAAGCTGAGGTAAATGAAGCAAAATTCCTCTTCCATATCACCCCCCATCACTTATCAATGTCCCATTTACCAATGGAAATTCCTGGAACTTAAGAATTCGAAAGGTGAGCATGTACTATTTCAAGTTCTATGCACTTATTCAACATTCACTCAGTGCTGACCATCCCTGGAGCTAATGTTAAATATTACTGGTAGATGATCTTAAAGAAGTTCCCATTCCACTCACAAAGAAGCTTCTCATGCAATTCACTCGATAAATGATTACTGAGTATTTAGCACTGTTCCAGGCACTGAGGATGCAAAGAGAATAACACAGACAGAAATGCCTGCTGTCGTGGAATTTACATCCCAGAGGGGTTCCCAGAAAACACCTAAGTGAGTAAATGGTCTGGATACTAGACACTAAAGGCTATCAAGGAAAAAAAAAACTAAAATAGGGAAGAGCCAGGAGTATAAGTCAGGGGGATGGCGATGTTCAACAGGAGGTAAAGTCAGTCCTCCATTGGCAAAGATTTGAAGGAGGTCAGAGAA